AAAAAAAAAACAAAAAAAAAGAAAAAAAAAAAAAAAAAAAAAAAAAAAAAAAAAAAAAAAAAGAAAAACCAGAGAGAGAGAGAGAGAGAGAGAGAGAGAGAGAGAGAGAGAGAGAGGGAGGCTGGGCAATGGTGTCACGTGGCTTTAATCCTAGCAGGTACAGGCAGCCAGACCTCTTGTGAGTTCAAAGCCAGCCTGGTTTACAGAGTGAATTCCACATAATGCCCTACACTATGCAGAAATATGTTTGGGCCAGACATGATGAATTCCTATAATTCCAGCACTTAGGAAATTTAGGCAGAAGGATCTTGAATTTTTTATATTGATTTTATTGAGCTCTACATTGACTTGCCTCCCTGCCTCTCCCCCCCTTCAGCTCTCTCCCAAGGTCCCATGTTCCCAATGTACTCAGATCTTGTTGGATCTTGAGTTTTACGCAAGCTGGGCTACAGGGTTTATAGGCTAGTCTGGATTCTACAAGATTCTTATCTCAGAAAACAAAGCTGTGTTTTGAAGGAAACGGGGTCTAGGTGTGTTCTCACGCTGGGTGGGTTTGGATCTGCACAGTCTGCAATCTTTTGTTTACAGGGCCTCTGGCCTTCTGGAGAACACTTGCCTTAGCAGCCCCACATGAGAGGCTTGTTTCAGTCATGGCGAGGTTGGTAGGTACTGTGTTGTGACTTCGGAGAGTGAAGCTGGGGCACAGGGTGTAGTCCTCTGTAGTCCTCTTCTCTGGAGTCCCTCAGAGGGAGCTGTCCACTCAGCAGGTAGAAAATTTCTGAGGAAGGAATTGTAAGAGTGACTGGGGTTCTAATTACTAAAAATAAAACTTTCCTCTCTTTTTTTTCTGCAGATGTGGGACTTAGGAAAAGGCCTGGCGATGCCCCAGGTCCAGCAGTCTGGAGTGGCTGTCTTGGTTCTTAGTATGCTGTCCTCTATAGGACTGGCAGCCATGTGAAGAGCTGAAATTCCCAGCATTGTCCTAATCCATTATCACACCGATTTATATTCCTGTTTATTATCACTCTTATCGCCAGCCACCAAAGTTCCCCTGATTTGTTAGATGCCACGTGCTTCAGATCCCATGGAGCTCAGCAGACGCTTGAAGAACTGTAGTAGTAGGAAAGGCCGTCTTCCCTGGGCCAGGAGCCCTTCCTCCCTCTCCACATTTGACTCTGATTTGTGCTGAGGGTCTGCTTTCAGCTCCTTCTTGCTGAGACAGTAGAAACAATGCCAGTTCTGTGGCTGCCCTGGGTGCCACTGTCTGTAGGCTGCTGGCTTAAAGGACAATTCTGTTCATTGGTCAGCTCGGGGCCTTTAGCACCCACACAGCGGGACTGAGAAGGGAGGTGGAGGGGATTGCTCTGCCCAGCTAGAAGGAGGTACAGAGCGAGCTGGATCTTGGACGCTCGTGCTTCAAGAAAAGATGCACAGCTTTTGATGGATGAGGACGATCCAAAAATTGTATTTTCTGTTCTTTCTGTTTTTCACTTCTAGTGAAACATACCTTTAATGTCATGTTTTCTGACCTAAATTCTTGTCCCATCTTCTTTGGAAACGATTAAAGTACTACTCATTTCTCATGTTGACTCTTTGGATTCTAGTGAGGGTCAGTAGAAAGGATCTGTCTCATTTCTGCCCCTTCCTTTGGGTCTTGGACATTTACACTCTCCAGCCTGACCTTTCCCAGGGGGAAATAGTTTATCCTACAACTGACCACTGGGAAAAAATATGACGTCATCACATACAAGTAGTGAAGAGACTTGGGTACTACAGGGAAGCCTTAGGAAAGAGCAAAGAGGGGTAAACATGTTGAGAGCTTGCTTTTTGGGGGAGGGCTGGGTGATTTGAGTCCACGTTTCTTTGTGTAGCTCTGACTGTCCTTGCTGTAGACCTTGCTCTGTAGACCTTGCTGGCCTTGAAGATCCCTACCTCTGCCTCCTGAGTGCTGAGATTAAAGGTGTGCAGCACCACTGCCTGGCTCTGTTGAGAGGGTCACATCCCATCCTGTGTATAGCTAGTTACATACTTCCTGGTACAGTTCAGCAGATATTTCATTTAAGGATACCTGGTGCCAGTGGAGGTGATAGCTAAGGGTTAATGACCTGCAGAGACAGATTTGGGCAGCGAGGGGGTGGGGAAACTAGTAGAGAATTTTTAAAGCCCAGCAGGGGTGTGAGGTGTCAGAATCCTAGAAAAATATATATAATGGGAGAGCTTGTTGTTTTATCCCTACTGGGACCCTGAATCCTTAGCAGGAGTGCTTTGTCTGTGGCACTAGGGGAGGCCAGTTCCTTGTACATGCCAACAAGCACTGTACCACTGAACTAGTCACTAGCTAGGAGAGCTAGTTTAATAGTTTTTCCAGCTCCAGACTAAGAGATTCATCTCGGGACTAGGAACTTGGCTCCATGGTAGTATGTAAAAGTCTGTGGTTCTCCGGCATCAAGAAAAATACTACTCCAGGAGATCAGTCAAAGCAGTGGATTGAAGACACAGGCATCGAACAGGAAGACGTGAATTCAGCGGTGGGGTGGGGCTTCTCTAGTAGTTTCATGAAATCTTTGAAATAGGGTCTCCCCATGTATCCTTGAGTGGCCTAGAACTCTAACCTAGGCTACCCTCCAGTTGGTGTGGTCTTACTTCTTTACTTCTCCCCGTCCCCTCCCCCCCCCCAGTCTGCATTAGCATCACCCTCCGCTCTAGGCCACTTGTATTCCCCTTTCCAAGTAGTCTTTGGCCTTAAGTGGTGATTACTTCCCCTTTTCTCTAGACAGGCCCTTAGAAGTCTTGTGTAGCTAAGGATTGAACCTAGGGTCCCTTTCATGCTTGCCAAGCATAGCCGTAGCCCCAGCCCCATTGTCTTTTGTTTTTGAGACAGACCGCATCAAGTTACCAGGCGGACCTTGAACCTGCTTCAGCACCCCAAGTAGCTGAAATTACAGAATATGCCACCACATCTGACTATCCTGGGAGATCGTATAGACTCTTGATGACTTCTCAACCATCCAGGGACTGAAGGGACAGTGGAACACCCCAGCTTTTTCCTTTTTCTACTTACGAGCTGGTCTGTCTGAGATAGCTCAGTGGGTATATGCTCCAGCCACCAAGCCCGACGGCCTGAGTTCCATAGTCCCACAAGTTGTTTTCTGACCTCCACAAGCTGGAGGCACACCTACATATATTCATTAAGTGGGTAAACAATCCTAGAAAGGGTCACATGCCCTACCTGTGATTTTGAAGATGTTGGTTTACAAAGTTCGGTGCTCTGAGGGTTTGCCCTCCTGTGATGCAGACCAGTTTCCTGTTGGTCTTTGTTGAAGTGTAAATGACATTCTTTATCAAGACCTGCTTGCACACCTTTAATCCCAGCACTCGGGAGGCAGAGGCAGGCGGATCTGTGAGTGAGGCTAGCCTGCTCCACAGAGTGAGTTCCAGGCCAGCCTGGTCTACACAAAGAAACACTGTCTCGAAAAACCAAAGTAAAAACGTCTTGGTGTTCTTTCCCAGCCTCCTCTCAAATTATGGGTTACAAAAGACAGCCATAGAATGAGGAGAAAACCCAGGTCAGTAAAAGACTTAACAATGTTTATTTGCCCAAATTTGCCTTTCCTCCTGGCCCACCATTTCTCTGTTCCACGTTTCTGAATACAGGGTCTTCCGTATTCCAGTCAGTCCCTAAAATGTCTTCTGAGACTCCTCCCCTGCAGAGTTAGAGCTTTGCGAGTCTGGGTCTCAGCTAGACAAGGACCTACTTGCTTGAGAGTCTTAACATGGGCTTGCAGGTGGGGACTTGGGAGAGTTAATTGGAGTTTGGGGCCCTGGGGTATGGCCTGCAGAGGGGTGTGAGCTTTGAATTCCATCTGAGTTGTCACCATCGACAGTTGGGGAACTGGGAATTATGGTCGGGTTTGCTGCTTGCTGTACAGTCTTTGTGACAGATTTCTTCTGTTTCTTCTGACTGTCAGGGTCATGGGGCTGTCGGGGTTAGAGTGGGAAAGTTGATCATATTTCTGGTTAGGCCAAGATAATCCCCATTCAGCCTCAGAATTCAACTCCCTTTCTTCCTACACCATGGGCAGGTCAAGAATAGTTATATTTAACCTCCCCTTGAGACTGTTTTATACTGGGGTTAAGGCTGGGCAACAAGATGGCTTTGAAAAAAAAAAAAAAAGATGGCTTTGTTTTGTTCCTTAAGACCTTAGTGATTAGAGACTAGACAACACAAGTCAGAACTGGTTAGAGGCCCCTCCCCTTGCTGGATTGGAATAACAGCTTTGAGGTGAGAAGAAGTGGAGACAGTAGGGGTTTGGGTTAGATGGGAAGGCTGGATACCTTGCCTAAGATTTCAGGGCGCAGTCCATTAGAGGCCTTGAGTAGATCAGGATTCTTCTGGATCCATTTGGTGAGGGAGGCAGCAGCAGCAGTTGTGCGGGAGGTCAAGGTCACCCGAGCAGGTGGCACCTTCAGGGGCATTTGCCAGGTGCCCATGAAGGAACCCCAAGGACTTGCCTAAAAGGAAAAGGGAGTGCGCAACAGGTCCTCATGGCTGCTGTGTCTGCTTGGCAGGGCTTGCTGGCCTCACGTTCCTTCTGTCCCTTCTGCATCTTAATAACGAAACATCTGAAGGGATCGTCTCCCCACTCTTCCTCTCTTCAGTCAGCTACGATGCTGGTTTTCTGCCCCTTTCCTTACAACACAAATTTTGCATTTGGCTAAGCGTGATAAAGGAGTCCTGTGCTTAAATATTGAAAACACTGTTTATATATTCATCATTTTCAGGACTTCCATGTGCTCAGCACAGCTCTGTCCTGTGGATAAATTGGTTAGCACTCACAGATTGGACTCTGATTTTCCATACGGTGGTTGTAGCCCCATTTTTATGCATCAGCCCTTTTTGTTTTGTTTTGAGACAGCATCTATAAAGTCCTGGCTGTCCTGGCATACACTATGTCGACCAAGCTGATCTCAAACTCACAGAGATCCTCCTGCCTCTGCTTCCTGAGTGCTGGGATTAAAGGTGTGCACCACCTCACCTGGCTAACTCTTACCTTTTTGATAGGAATGGGCGTGGGAAATCTCACCTTGGAACGGGGCACCGAAGGCAAGAGATGACCTCGATCGTTGGCAATAATCTGAGTGTAACCTTCGTGGGTAGAGGCTCTCTGTGGTGGAGGTGGAAAGAGAAGTACTTGAAGTGAAAGAGGGAGGAGAAATCGAAGTGTCTGCGGGCTTGCAGTAGAGGCATGGGAGAGGAGAAGGTGGACCATTAGAAGGCTAAAGAAGTTAGGTGGGTGACAGGAAGAACAGGAGGCCAGTCACCATCAACTGGCCTTGGAGGGCACTGGGCTCGGAGTACCTCTTTTGTTGGCTTGGCAGGAGACCAGTTCTGCAAGTACTTGGGCGAGAAAGCTTTTTCATACTGTGGAGAGAAAGAGGAGACTCAAAGGCTTCACGCTCAGGAAATCGTGATCCAGTTCTCGGTACCTGAACGCCAAAGGCTTCAACAACTATGTGAACTCTAACTCACTGTCACAAGGGGTATATAGGGAGGGAGGAGACTAAGTGATGGGTTAAAAAGAAGGCAGAAGTGGGCACTGATCTGGGAAGAAAAGGACCCAGCTGGAGGGGGAGATGAGGGAGGGACTTGGAACAACAGTGTACTCCATACACAGTCGACACGTGCGTGAAGGTGCCCCAACAGTGCCCCGAAAACACGACAGAAAGAAGAGAGCACGTACAAAAAGAGAAGACATTAAAGACAGAAGAAATTGTTTCTGTTTCGTCAGCTGTGACTTGAACCCAGGATCTGGTGCCTACTAATCAAGTGCAAGATTACAATCTGTGCTCAAGATGTGTGCTGCCCAGCACATAGCAACCGGCTGCATGTTAAACATGTGAAAAGCAACAAGTAAACTGGGTACTTTAAGCTAAGTATGAAACACTGGAAGGCTGGGGTGTAGCTCAGTGGTAGGGTACTTGTCTTGCACAGACAGAGCCCAGGGTTTGATCCTCTGCACTAGTCGGGAAAAATGGATTTTAACGAGCTAGTAGTATAAGAGAGGTGTGTGTGTGTGAAGGGGGTGTAGAATTTTTTAAATAATTTAAAAAATATCAATATTAAAATATTTTGGTTTTATTGGGTTCCACTTGAGCATTATTAAATTTAATTTTTAATTTTCACATAGCTGCTAAAGCCTTTAAAATTATGTTTGTGATTTACTTTGTCAGGCAATGCTGGACTAGACCAAGGGTAAATAACCAAATCCCTATTGCTTCCTGCTTTTGAATGACCATAGAGCAGTGAATGTCATACCTATTATATCTGTCTGTCTGTCCTTTTGTCTGTCCGTCTGTCCGTCCGTCCATCCATCATTTAAGGTCTCTAGGGGTCCAGCTTTCTGCCTCTGTCTCCCTGGCAAAAAATGTTTTTTTACAGCCTGGAGGTGGTGGCTCTCGCCTTTAATCCCAGCATTTGGGAGGCAGAGGCCAACAGATCTCTATGGGTTCAAAGCCAGCCTAGTCTACAAAGTGACAGGGCAGCCAGGGCTGTTACACAGAGAAACCCTGTCTTGAAAAAATAACAACAGCGACAAAATAATGGATCTTACAAACATTTGTGTTGCCTTAACAAAAGGTAGTTGGCCATAATGATACACCTATAATCTCATTACTTCCCAGAGTGAAGTAGGAAGATTTAGAGTTTGTGGGCTAGTCTAGGTGGGCTACAGAGGAGCAATACCTTACCTCCCCCCACACACACATAAAAGAAGAAGAAGAAAATCCACTAAAATTTGAATTCCAACTGAACAAAATGTTATTTCCAAAAGAATTCCAAAATGTGTAGACAGGGTCTTCCGACAGGGTCCCACTACCACACTCTGGCTGGCCTGGAACTTGCTGTGTCGGCCAGGCTAGCCTCAAACTTTGAGTGATTGCTTTGCCACTTTGTCCTAAATACTGGGATTCCAGGTACATACCACCGTGGCGGGATTTGTGTGTGTGTGTGTGTGTGTGTGTGTGTGTGTGTGTGTTCGAGGGGGGTTTCATGGAGCTCAGGCTAGCCTTGGGTTCGGTTTGTAGCCAAGGATACCCTGAACACCTGACCATCCTGCTTTGCCTCCAAAGCCCTAGGATCACCGGGAGCACATCTACACTCGCTTTAGTTACTACATCTTGAATTTTTCCAAAACAAATTAGGGAGAACTGTCATGTAAATAGCTGTGACTTTGTTATTTGACTTACAAAGCCTAAAGCGTTTACTCTGGCCTGTAAAAATAGAATCCCTGCCTTCTGGTTTACACTCTACAAGCTTAACTCAGGCCCTTTTGGCTGGTTCCTGGACCCTCCCAACTGTGAGGTGAAACCCTCAGTCCCCTCAGCGTCTGTTTGGGGAGCAGAATGTGCTGGAGGGGTAGGCCCAAAGGTAGAATCTGGAAGGTAAAATCAAATGTCAGGGGGTAGAAGGAGAACTTACCTGGTTGGCACTGTAGTTAGTGGCCATGATCCTGTCCTGTTTACACTTGTTGCCTGGCAACTGCAGAAGGGCAGCCTTCTGGGAGTATCTCCCAATCAGCAGGGGTTGGCTATCTTCTGGGGCTCACACTGCCCCCTTCCTTTTTCTCTGAAACCTAGGTTTCTTTTCCTTTTAGAGTGTGGAGGACCAAATAAACATGAAAAAAAAAAAAGTGGGCAGAGAAGCAGCTGCCTCTTTCCCCAATATGTTAGCCCTGCTTCAGAGTTTCCAGGTTGTCTCTGAATGACATCTTCAACTATTTAAACAAACTGGGACACTAAGAGCTGAGTCTGTGCGACAGTGTGGTATAATGAACTAATCGTAGAATTAGGAACAGGATGGGTCCTTATTTAACATGGTATTATATGGCTTAAGCCCCTGGCGTCCCTTCGATAAACAGCTATCATTACATACTGTGGAGATGGCCTATTTCGTACAGTGCAGGATAAAATGAATGAACTGTCCAGACGTTGTAAATGCACAGTGGGAACTGAACACAGCCAAGACACTGTTTACAGAATAACAAATAGGAAGCCACCAACTTGTTTGCTCCCAGAAGGAAATGTACGCCTCGTCTTGGTCCTTAAACGACTCCTGTCTCCTCCATCAGTCCGCAGTCACAGAACCTAAGAACATAGGTTCATGGTGTCCCTTAGGATATGGCAAATCGGGACCTAGGGCGGGAAACTGAGCGGGGGTGATGACAGTGTAAGATTAAAGTACCAGGTTTGGGAGGATCAAGTGATGGTGCCCAAACCTGCTAGATGTAAAACTGAGAAACCCTCTGAGACTCACCCAAATTTCTGTTAAACCAATCGACTCATCTACTGGGGTCTTAGAACTAAAGAGCGCTTGTCAGTTATATAGTCTCAAGTTTTTTAAAAAAGAAGAAAAGAAACAAGTCCAAAGAAATAGGTACTTCAGAGCCAGATATGGCAGGACATGCCTGTGATCCCAGTATTCAGGAAGCAGAGGCAGGTGGATCTCAAGTTCAAGATCAGCCTGAGCTATGTAGCCTACTATATGGGAGAGGCCGGGTGGTGGTGGCACACACCTTTAATCCCAGGACTCTGGATTCGAGGCTAGTCTGGTCTACAAGAGCTAGTTCCAGGACACGCTCCAAAGCTACAGAGAAACCCTGTCTAGAAAAACCAATATAAATATATGAAGTACTCACAAGGCCCACACCTCTCGGGGCTATATAGGCAGTTAACAGTTGCTGGGGGAGGGGCTCTCAAGGCTCCACCCTTTACATGGAGTCATTGGCAGTTAATGGTTAATGGAGAAGGGCAAGACCTTTTTCTTTAGTGTTGTAGCCAGCCACTGGTGGGTTACCTCCCACTCATGCGAGCAACCCTGAGCTCAGTAGGACGTACACACTCACACGCACACCAGGGCATGGTGGTGCCTTTAATCCCAGCACTTAGGAGGCAGAGGCAGAAGTGTCTCTGTGAATTTGAAGTTAGCCAAGTCTACATAGTGCGTTCCAGGCCAGCCAGGGCCACATAATGAGACCTTATCTCAACAAACAAACAACAAACATCCCTATAACGTGGCAGGGGGACTTGCTGGAGGGCAGAGGGAGGTTTATTGGGAGGGATAAATGTTATTCCGTGGAAACTACAGCTCCCAGACTTCCCCTGGATCACCTGCGTGCGTGCTGGTCACGCCCAGGTGAAGACCATTACTCCCAGATAACCTTGCGCCCCCAGTTAAAAGCGAGCGCTCCACGAGGTTTCGGCCTCTTGCTCCCTTGGTCCTTTTCCCTTTATCCTTGTGTGTCTGCACGTCCCGCCCTTATCGTGTTCCCCTCTCCCCATTAAACGCACCCACGTGGGAGCAGCATGTCCGTCTCTTCCTTTGCGTTCGTCTATCCTGTGTTTGTCCACACACCCACGCCGCCCCGCCGCCGTTTTAAAGGAATAATAATAAGAGGATAAGATCAGAATATGGACCTGTATGAAAATGTCACACTGAAACCATTACATAAATTAATAAATCTGGTTTAAAAAAAGGAACTGTGGAGGGAGCAAGGGAGCTGGAGGATGGCTCAGTGATTAATGTTTGCTGCCCTTGCAGTGGACCCGAGTTCAGGTTCCCAGCACCCATGGCTCATAACTCATAAGCTACATGGAATCTGACCCCCTCTTCAGACACAGCCACCCCAACCCATACATATGATTAAAAATAAAATCTTTTTTTTTTTTTTTTTTTTTTTTTTTAAGAAAGCAAGCTGCTTGTGGTACCTGACACCTATAATCCCAGCACTTGAAATGCTGAAGCAGGAGGATTGCTACAAGTTTGGGGCCAGCTTGGCTTACTTGAGACTCTGCCTCCAAAATTCAGGGGGAGATAATTGCTAGTTCTTTCTTCCCCTCAAATCTTTATCCCATCCAACACACCCCGCATACGGACATTTGTGACCCGTCTAGATAATGGGGTAAAAACAGCCCTTGTTGGGCTCTCACGGTTAGCTGCTGGGTAGTGTGACATAGGAAAGCACCCATGTGCTTTGTCCCTGGGATTCTTATGGCGCTCTAGAGTGATGGAAGAGAAAGAAGTTAGTTTAGGACGAAGGACTGTCTCTGCTCTAGGACATCCATTTTGACAGCTCTGCACCCATGGTTCCTCTGGGAGCTTCTGTCTTTGTTACCTGCTATGAAGACGGTTTTCCTTGGTGCTGTGGACAGGGTGTAAACTTGGAGCTAAGTGAGGACAGCCCCTAGTGTTCATCCTGGAGCCAAACTATCTGGGTGAAATTCTAGATGTGCTTGGAATCTGAGGCCTTCCTTAGGGAGGAAGTTCATCTGCCCAGGCCTCCGTGAGCTTGGATGGAAAGTGAAGGCAGTCCTACTTCTTAGTTTAACTGTGCAGATCATGCTGTGGTAGACATTTGATACAAGGAGGCTTCAATAATTTTAACATTGTTGTTGGCTTAAGAATACCCAGAGGGATCTGAGTGAGTGGAGGCAAAATGCAGGACCCCAGTGCAGACACCGAGTGGAATGACATCCTATGCAAAAAGGGCATCCTGCCCCCGAAGGAGAGCCTGGCGGAACTGGAGAAGGAGGCAGCAGAAAAAGAGGAGCAGGCACTCCTCCAGCAGTCAGTGGTGAAAACGAATGAAGATAGGACTTTGGAGGAGCTGGAGGAGAACGAAGATGAATTCAATGAGGAGGACGACCGAGCTATCAGCTGTACCGGCAGCAAAGGCTGGCCGAGTGGAAAGCAACTCAGCTGAAGAACAAATTTGGAGAAGTTTTAGAGATCTCAGGGAAGGATTATGTTCAAGAAGTTACCAGAGCCGGCGATGGCTTGTGGGTGATCTTGCACCTGTGCAAGCAAGGGATTCCCCTCTGTTCCCTGATAAACCAGCACTTGAGCGGACTCGCCAGGAAGTTTCCCCGATGTAAAGTTCGTCAAAGCCATTTCAACGACCTGCATACCCAATTACCCCGACAGGAACCTGCCCACGCTCTTCCTTTATCTGGGCGGCGACATCAAGGCACAGTTCATTGGTCCTCTGGTGTTCGGAGGCTTGAACCTGACGAGCTGGAGTGGAAATTGTCTGAGTCGGGAGCAATCAAGACAGACCTGGAGGAGTACCCCAAGAAGCCCATCAAAGACGTGCTGCTGTCCTCAGTGCGAGGCCCTGTCCCCATGAGAAGGGACAGCGATTCTGAGGGCGACTGAGATGGCCACTGTGACCTTTTGAACTTTCTCGATATGACATATTGTTTGAATTTTTACTGAGGAGGAAAAAGCAAAGTTTTCATATTTTAGTTTATCCTTTTTATAATATTTAAATTTTGTACATTTCAGAAATAATCATCACTGAAAATTTTATTAAATTCCTTGAAACTCTGAATTATTAATGTTTTGTTAAGAAAAATTTAAATAAGCTTTATGCCAAATATCTGTTCTCCTACATGTATTTCAGCAAACGGTTCAGTGTTTTTTTGACATGCAGCTGTGTAGGAAGGAATATGGAATTTTTTTTTAAAAAATAATGTGAATAAAATAAATAAAAAAAAGAATACCCAGAGGGATGGACTGGGTCCGGTGCACACCTTTCATCCCAGCACAGGAGGCAGAGGCAGGTGGATCTCTTCATAACTGTGTGTGGACCACACTCATGATGCATGCATCAACTTTGCATACTCAACACTGAGGCTTCTCCCATGATCTCACAGAGACAATGCCACTGTTCACGAGTCACTTTGCATGTGAGCGTGCTCGGTAGTGTACACTAGGAAACAAGGTTGTAGAATCAAAGAGTCAGCTTTGGAAAACTGCTTTTCACAGACCTATGAACGTCCTCTGGCAGGTCTGTGGATGGAACCTGGGCTTGCTGGAGTGATTAGCGCTCCAAATAACACAGCACTACCACTGTGGTTTATCTAATTCGCAGTAGCCCAAAGTAGGAGACTTGGACTTCCCACAGAAAACAGGATCTCTAGTCTAAGCTGGCTCAGTTTCCTGTGTAGCTATAGGCTGGAGATGACCTTCAACTTCTAATCCCCCTGCCTCTACCTTCCAAGCACTGGAGCTGTACAAGCACGTGCACACTCAGCTTGAAACATGAACTTTGCCAGGCAGTAGTGGTGCATGCCTTTAATCTAGCATTTGGGAGGCAGAGGCAGGTGGATCTCTGTAAATTCGAGGCCAGCCTAGTCTACAGAGTGAGTTCCAGGACAGCCAGAGATGTTACACAGAGAAACCCTGTCTTAAAAAAAAAAGTTTATTTTCAAAATATGGAATGCTTCTTGTTTTGTATGGCAGTCTTGCACAGGGGCCATGCTGATTCTTCTCTATTGTTCTGTGCTATGGCTCACCCCTGTGACAGGCGCATACAGCTTGAACTTTTAATGTATTTCCTCCCCTTGGCAAAAATATGAACCCAAAAAATTATGAGTAAGCAGTTATTGTTAAAGACTTAGGCATCTGTTTCCCCTACTACACGGTTTGGACCACTTGAACCATTCTCTCTAGTATGTTGTCAACCCTCCAAGATTTCTCCCAAGTAGCTCCAAGGAGCCCTGCATCCTACCTCCCTGGTTCAGATGGTAAAAAGGTGCTGGAGGGGAGACTTGGGTTTTGTAGATTTCCCCATAAAAACGGAAATAGTTTTGTACACAATAAGGTCAGAAATGATGCATGGCTACAAATGTAAAAGCTTCAGTCACAAAACACCTCCAAGTTTTTCTAAGACTACGGCGCCCCCTACTGGACATTGTTATAATCTCTCTCTAATCTCCCCCCCCCCTCTCTCTCTCTCTCTCTCTCTCTCTCTCTCTCTCTCTCTCTCTCTCCTCTCTTGTGTTTGTGTGTGTGTGTGTATACAATAACAAAAACAAAACTGGTAGTTTTTTTTTAGCCGAACTACTCAAGAAAATAGAGGAGATGGCACAAACTAAATTAGAATTGATGAAGAGGCAAAAAAGAAAGAGTGTGTATTGCAGACGGTACCACGTAGCTCAGACTAACCTTGAACTTCCTGAGTAGCAGAGCCTGGCCTTAAATTCCAGGTCCTCCTGCCTCCACCTCCTGAGCAAATGGAATTGGGTCACAAGCGTGACACACTCAGTTGGAGGAAGAAAATTTTTTTTAAATCGAAAAAAACTACATTAAATGGATTTTCAAAAATAGAAAATCAGCTGAACAAAACTGGTCCGTGCATCTAGTGTGAAGAGGTGAGTTAACGTCTAAGAATCACAGACCCTGGCTTGAGCTTGGGCCTGCTGAGCTCACCTCCACTCTTGGAAGTGCCTTCCTCGTCCTTATCTTCAGAAACCATTTCTACCGTTTTTTAAAAATTACAGAGACTGCTGGTTGTGGTGGCGCACATCGCTAATACCAGCACTTGGGATTATTTTTATTATTATTTATTGTATTATTGTTTTTATTGATTTTGTGAGTACCAGGGATTGAACCCAGGTTTGGCACATCCTACGCAGCACTCGATCACTGAGATACATCCTCCATCCTTTTTAGCTTCTTTTGGAAATTGCTTTTCCTGGGCCAGTGAGTAAAGGTGCTTACCACCAAGCCAGACAGCCTGGGTTTGATCCTGGGACCCGTGTGGTGGAAAGAGAGAACTGTCTCCTGTAAGGTGTGGCAGGGTCTGATGTGCAGGGCAGGCTGCCCTTGAACTCACTGGATAGCCAAGGGTGACGCTGAAATCCCACCCCTCCGACCGACCTCCACCTTCCAAGCACTAGGTCATCACACCAACTGAACTGCATCTCCAGCCATAAGAATAATTTTTAAGGGTTGAAGAGATTGCTCAACCGTGAAGGGCACTGGCTGCTTTTCCAGAGGACCAGGGTTCAATTCCCAGCACCCACATGGCAGCTCACAACTGTCTGTAACTCCTGTTCCAGGGCATCCGACACCTTCACACAGACAT